TCTGTCAAGCTATTGATAAATGGAGTCGCTGCTTTAGGTGAAAACTATCCTTTTTCTTGGTTTCATAACAAGCAGTATGTATCTTTTAATGAAATAGATAATGCTTTTTTGTCTTATAATTCCCTTGGTTATGGTTTTATTGCTCCCATAGCTGTCTTGTTTTATGGTTCAGTTAAAAGGCTTTCTTGCAGATAAGAGAAAAAGAATAATTTAAAAAATAAAAAGTCTATAGCCGTATTATTGAATCTGTTACTCCAAGTTGAACTTTGGGGAGCAGGGAGCAGTCCCTGCAGGGAGAACTCCTAACTTCTTGGGTTGTTTTTTGTTTGTTTGTTTTGTTCTTTTGTGGGTTTTGTTTGTCTGTTTGTTTTTTAAGTTGGATTGGTGGAATCTTCTCTGGCCTTCACCCTTCCACCTGTTGTCAACGGCTCGACCCATTGCAGATCCTGGCAGAACTATGAGTGAGCCCAGCTCCCCGCTTCCAATCTCCTTCACCATTGGTTTCCCCTCCAGCTTCAGAGGCAGCAGCCATACTCTGTCCTGATCATCTCTGCGCCCGCCCCCCACCACCACCACATGCTACGCATGAAATCCCAGCAAAGTTCCTTCCTGTGTCTGAGCCTCAGTTTTCTCATTCATCTAAAGGGAAAGTAGACCTGATGTTCAGGGTATTATGAACATCAAGTAACATGGTGTGATATAAGTTACCACCCACATGCTTGGAGCATAGTAAGTACCCTGCCAGTGTGGGTTTCTTCCCATCAGCCCCATCTTAACAATGAGCTCCTTTGGCAGCCAGGAGGCTCTGATCCAGAGCATGATACCAGGGAGGTACCAGAAGTTTGAGACTGGAACAAAGCAGAGGGAGTCCTGGCATTGTCACATCGTTCAGTCTTTTGTTTATGTGTTTGACTAATGTTAGTCTTGCCAGGCAAAAGCAGCAGAACCAAGTAAACTCATCTGTTTAGAGGCTTTTTATTCCAGCCATTCCCTTGAGAAGAGCAATCCTGACACCTGTCATTAGCCTGTCCTGTTACCTCAAGGCCCAGGTTGCCTGAGTAGCAGCAGCTTCGAAACAAAGAAATACTGAGGGATTTGTTCGTTCTCAGTGACTGATTTGACCAATATTAAGCAAGAGCTAGTTTTTCATTTGATCGATTAGACCTTTTCCTCCACTAATTGGTTTCCCCTTCTTGGGATTGTGGCTGGCAGAGGGTCCCTGCCCTTCTGCAGTGCCTCCAGAGGTGTTCCTGAAATGTCTTCTCCCCATCTTCCTGTTGAAGCCATCAGAGGATTTCAACAGCCTCTTTGTTGCCCTTCTTCCAGAGAATCGTCTGAGCTTGCTCTAGGAAACATTCCAGGTGCACATTCATTCAGGAGGGCATTTTCTAGTTTCAGCATGTAAGGTGCCTGATCACTTATCCATCACTCAGAACCTTCAGTTTTAAAAAACTGCAAGACAGATTGTGAATTTATAGTCTCAGCATCAAACTAAATATGAAGTCATGGGTTTATTTTTCTTTGAATTGCAGCATTTTTGTAACTAAGTTTTTCATATGTAATGTTGAAAGAATTTTATCGCAAACCCCTCATATACCCACCTCTGAATTCAGCCATTAACATTCTACTTGCCTTATTGCTTACCAACTCTCTCTCTTTATTTTGTGATCATATCAAAGTAACTTGTAAACATTTGTATACTTCCATACTTTAGTATGTTAGAATTCACTAAGAAATGCACAAATCCCAAGCGTACTTTCACTAAGTGTCAACAAATGCATATACCTGTGATATACTAATGCTTATGGATCAAGAACTACTGTTCTCAGAAAGTTCCCTAATGGGTTTCCCAGCAATATCCATCTGCAGAAGTAATGAGTCTTGTTTTATGTCGTGTCATTTCAGTGGAACCATATATTCTTTTTTCAGGATTAATTCTTCATTCATTCACTACAACGTGTGCATGTGTTGTGCATGCATTGGTTGTTTGTTTCTCTCCAGTCAACTATTAACATTTTACCATGCTTATCTAATAAGACAAACAATAACTTGCCTACCTGTCTCTCCAGCCATCTAGCTGGGTATAATACTTCAGTATTTAGGAGCATTAGACCATAGTTTATGTATTCTCCTTTTGATTGACAAGTGATTCAGTTTTTGGTGTGTGTGTGTTGATCTTGAGGCTTGAACTGTCCCTGAGCTTCTATTTCAAGGCTAGCACCTACCTCTTGAGCCAGAGCACCACTTCTGGCTTTTTCTGAGTAGTTCATTGGAGATGAGTCTCATGGACTTTCCTGCCTGAACTGGCTATGAACTGCCATCCTTAGATCTTAGCCTCCTGAGTAGCTAAGATTACAGGTGTGAGCCACCAGTGCCTGGCTTGACTCCAGTTTTGGCTATTCTTTTTTTGTTGTTGTTGGTCATGGGGCCTGAACTCTGGGCCTAGAGCTATCCCTCAGCTCTTCAGCTAAAGGATAGTGCTCTACCACTTGAGACACAGCACCACTTCCAGCCTTTTCTGCTTATCTGGTGCTAAGGAATCGAACCCAGGGCCTCATGCATGCAAAGCAAGCATTCTACCACTGAGCCACCTTCCCAGCCCAGTTTTTGGCTATTCTTATAAAGCTGCTAAAAACATACCCAGACAAGTCTTTCATTTTATTTTTTCAGAAGTAGAATTTCTGAGTCATTGAATAGCTATATGGTTAGTTTTATAATAAATTGCCAAAAGTTTTTTTCTGAAGCAGTTGTACCATTGACACTCCTACTATGCCTGAGAGTACCAGTAGTTTCAAACCTTAGACAACATTTGATGTGATCAGCATTTGCCACCTTGGTGGTATGTATTACTTCCTCATTGTGGTTTCTGCATTTCTATAGTTACCAATTATGTAGAACACTTTTTACTATAAGGTGGTATTGTTGAAAATTTAATTGACACACCATGATTTTATTTTTTTTATTTACTTATTTTTTTGTCGGTCATGGGGCTTGAACTCTTGGCTTGGGTGCTGTCCCTGCACTCTTCAGCTCAAGGCGAGTGCTCTACCGCTTGAGCTACAGCACCACTTCTGATTTCTAGTGGTTTATTGGAGATAAGAGTCTCACGGACTTTCCTGCCCGGGCTGGCTTTGAACCACAATCCTCAGATCTCAGCCTCCCAAGTAGCTATGATTATAGGTGTGAGCCACCAGCGCCCAAATACACCATGATTTTAAAATTAAGAGATTTTATATTAAAATCTGATTTCCAGTTTTTCCTGAAAGGGCCTAGCAAACTTGGACTCATATGCCCCTGTGGAACAAAAAAATGAAGTGCAGAATCTGGGTAGTGGCTGTGCCGTCAGGATGAACTGCTCTTCAGCTCCCCAGAGCCCCTAGCTGTCTCTTTAACTCCCCAGTGGTCAGCTTCCATGTGTGTGTCACAGTTGCTATGCTGTTTTTCTCCCCCTTAAAAAGTGAGCTGTTCTGGGGCTGGGAAGGTGGCTCAGTGGTAGAGAGCTTGCCTTGCAAGCATGAGGTCCTGGGTTCGATTCCTCAGCACCACATAAGAAAAAAAAAAAAGCTAAAAAGTGAGCTGTTCCCTGAGCCCATGTCATAAATTCTGTAGAAATGAAAGGCAGATTAAGAGGGATCTAGGGCTGGGCACAGTAGCTCCCACCTGTAATTCTAGCTATTCAGGAGGCTGAGATCTGAGGATCACAGTTCAAAGCCAGCCCAGGCAGGAAATTTGTGAGACTCTTATCTCCAAATAAAACCACCAGAAGTGGCACTGTGGCTCAAGTGGTAAAGCACTTGCCTTGAGCTCAAGAGCCGGGGGACAGCACTCAGGACCAGAGTTCAAGCCCCATGACTGACAAAAAAAAAAAAAAACAAGAGGGATATCTAAAATGCAACAGTAGTACTCACTGAATACTGTGTTGAAAATGAACTACACAGCTTGTGGGTGGGGACAAGAGGGGAAAAATGGGAAAGAACGAAGGAAGAGATGACACTGTTCAAAAAGAAATGCACTCATGTGGAGCACTGGTGGCTCACACCTGTAATCCTAGCTACTCAGGAAGCTAAGATCTGAGGATGATGGTTCACAGCTATCCTTGACAGAACAGTCTTCATGAGACTCTTATCTCCAATTAACCACTCAAAAACTGGAAGTGGAACTGTGGCTCAAAGTGGTAGAGCACTAGCCTTGAGCAAAAGAGCTCAGGGACAGCACCCAGGTCCTGAGTTCAAGCCCCACAACCAACAAAAAAAGAAACAAAAAGAAAAGAAAGAAATGCACTCATTACCTGACTTATGTAACTGTAACCCCTCTGTACATCATATTTGCAATAATAATAAAAAATAAAGTAAATAAATTTAAAAAGAGGGATAGCCAAATACCTGTGGCTCATGTCTATAATTCTAGCTACTCAGGAACTTGACATCTGTAGTTCAAGGTTCAAAGCCAATTGAGGCAGACAAATCTACATGATTCTTGTCTCCAGTTAAGCAGCAAAAAGTTGGAGCTAGAAGCATGGCTCAAACAGTAGAGCACTAGCTGTGAGCAAGAAAAAGCTGTCAAGAGAGCAAAAAGCCCTAAGTTCAAGCACAAGCACTGGAAAAGAAGGTCACATCGTTGAAAAAGAAGTAGATCACATTTCTTTGTAGCAATGAGAAAACAGTAATTGTTAGGTTCAATTTGTAAATTAAACAGATCTGTTTTAAAACCTTGTACTTTAACAATTCTTTCATGAAACTGCCTACTTATTTTTATTTCTTCCTAAATCTTTTAGGTTTTTAAGTTTGTAACTCCTCTAATAGAACACTTAAACTGATAAATTATGTGGGGGTTATTTAGATATACAAAGGAATCTGATTTTATATCCTTTTTATTGAAGAAGAAAATAAAAACTTTCCCATAATACGTCATTTAGAATACTTTGTATGTTATAAAACATTGAGACTTTTTTTTAAAAGTGTTTTACTTTCTTGATTCTGTAATTTTGCTTTTAATTCCAGGACTGTAAGTGGAAAATGTATATGGAGATGGATGGGGATGAAATTGCAATAACCTACATAAAAGATGTGACATTCAACACTAACCTACCTGATGCAGAGATTTTAAAGATGACAAAGGTAAGGTTCTATTTACAGCTTAAAAGCTTTTTTGAATTCACAGATATCAAACAAAGACATTAAAATACCCCAGCAGTGTGCTTTTGTGCTTGTCCATGCTCACATCAGCTCAGCCTCAAGCAGGCTGTTGAAAGGCACATTTTATTTAGCAGATTGAGAGGATAATAGTTTTTTGTTAAAATTCCACTTATGCAGTGTGAACTAAAAAGCACTGCAAAAAAATAAAAAAAGGATCATTTCTTTTTTTAAGTTTCTTTCTACATTTCTTTATGCTTACTCCATCATTTGTTAAAAGGATGAAAATATAACCCATGAAAATATTTACTTCGCATTTGTTGTTTTAAACTTTGGAAAACTTTCAAGATGAAGATTTTTCTTGAAGCATGGAGATGCGGCTGTTTTTTGTTTTTGTTTTGGGATAGTCCTGAGGCTTGAACTCAGGGCCTCATGCTCTTGCTTGACTTCTGCTCAAGGCTGGCACTCTGCCACTTGAGTCACAGGTTGTTTAGGGGATGCATGTTGAAATATTAGTAGCTTCCTTGAGTTTACATAAAGGATTATCAGGGCAATCAGAAAACATGTAACCACTCCAGAGTCACTGATATACAAATTCCAGTGGAAACACAGAAGAAATGGCCAATTTGCTCCTCCAAGGGGGGGGGGGAAGTAGGCTTATTTCAAATATAATGAAAAAAATCATATAAAATAGTAGAAGATCAGCAACTTCAGGCAAATAACTGTGATGTCAGACAGTGATTGTAACCTGAAATGACCATCACCAGTAGCGTACTGTTTACTTTGTTTTTAGTTTCAGTGAAGAAAGAACCAGAGTATAAACACAAGTAGGAAAAAAAATAAGTCTTCAAAGCCTGGCATTAGACTTGTAATTGTCTTCTCTGCACAGTGTAAGATCGCTGAACAACAAGTTTTTTTTTCCATTTACAAATGGATTCATCAAGTCAACTGTTCGATATTGATTGTTGCACTCTTTTGCATAACTGAACATTGTTTTGATGGCATTATTTATGTGTAAAGGTTATGATTTGGCTTTAACTTTGGGAGACTAGAACATACAGGAAATACCTCCTTTCCATTCATGACCACTCTAATTATAGTTGTCGCTTGTTTCTCAGTACTTTAGAAGCAAGATCTAAGTCATTGCCTACTAGCAGAGAAATCATCCATGGTAAAAAATAATAGGATGGAATTGTAATTCCAAATACAAATGTTCCTGCTATAATGTCATGTATGTAAAATTATCTACCAATATTGATTGAGCTTATCAGGAAAACAGGATTGGGTAGCCTTTCAAATTTTATAGAACTTTTTAACACCAAGAAGAACAGTAACAATCATAATTTATTCATTTTTTAAAATTGATCAGTTAAATCTCTACCACATTTTCTCTACTCAACTCATAGGCAGCCTTAAACAGGAAAGGGGGAAATAATGCAATAGCAGAGATTATTTTCATCAAAATTAGCATAGATCCAAGGTATAGGTTTCTTTGTTCATCTTGTTTGTTATTTGTGTGTGTGTGTGTTTGTGTGTGTGCGTGCGCACTAGTATTATAGGTTGAATTCAAGGCCGTGTATTCTTACTTGGCATTTTTGCTCAAACCTGGTGCTCTACCACCTGAACCACACCTTCAGTTGGAGGATTGTGCTGGTTAATTGAAGATAAGAATCTCTTGGATTTTTTTCTGCCCAGGCTGGCTTTGAACCATGATTCTCAGATATCAGCTTCCTAGGTACTTAGGATTATAAGTGTGAGCCACCAGCACCCAGCTTCATCCTTTGTTTTTTAATTGTGGGTAAATATCACCACAGTGTCTGTGTGTTTTACATACAAGTTCACAGGTTCATCTGAGAGAGTGAAAAGCTGTGATGGTTGAAGTTACTTAAGCAACCACTGCTTGCACTCAAGAATACTTCTGGGTCTCCTTCTGTGGTTATGACTTTGCCTACCGATGTTTCAAACAGCATGAATAAATGAGCTAATCATAAGACTGATTTCGGACCCACATGGTAATATATCTTTGTCATCTCAGCACCTGAGAGGCTGAGGCAGGAGGTGGGAGTTCAAGGCCAAAGTGGACTACATGGCAAGACTCTGTCTCAAAAAAAAAAAAAAGAGAGAGAAAAGAAAAGAAAAAAAGAAATGGGGACTGTCCTCTGCCATTAGTAGGCTATGCATAGCATTCATTCATTCAGGAAACTGGTTTTGCCAATGTATGAAAGGATGTCTTATGAAAAGCAAAGCTCAAGATATCACTGAGTTGTGAACCAGCATGATGCTCATGATAGTCTGTTATTGTGCTAGTATTTGTAAATTGTACCCAGCACAACTGGCCGTAAAGAACTGCACAGTGACAGAGCAGGCTATATTGTGGTACTGCACCATCCTATCTCTTGTTTTGCAGCCACCATTTGTGATGGAGAAGTGGATTGTAGGAATAATGGAAGATCAGACTGTAGAGTGTATGGTGACTTATGAGGTAAGCTCCAGGGAAGTGATTCACGACCACTTGTTAAAATGGCTTTTATCTATTTCCTTGGAATGCCTAGAGATCACTGGAATTTATTGAGATTAAAAACTATATAGCTAACATGAATATGGGGATAACAATAGAAATTCTCTAATAATGTGCTGGAAGGGAACGAAAAAGGATAAACTTTTCTGGTAGAGACAGGTAATACCTCATTCATTAAACTCTTGGTTGTCTTTTTGGTGATACTGGGGTTTGAACATCAGCTTGCTAAACTGATTCCCTATCACTTGAACCACACCTCTAGACCTCATTCATGACTGATTGAACATTTTCATATACCATGTGATAACTTAGGTACTGGGAATACCAAAAAGTGAGTGAAACAGATCTTTGCCTTCTTGGAGCTAAGAAGTTTAATAAGAGTTCTTCTTCAAAAGATCAGAGCATCATTCCCCACCATCTGTAAAGAGTGTGTTATGAAAACCAGATGAACAGACACTATACATTTTTCTATGGAAAGATACAAGGATTTATATTTTTAAAACATGATATTAAATTCAAATTCATATGTTCAGTAGTAGCTGGTAGTGTATACCGTTCTTTGGTGAGGGCAGAGGTCTGCACTCCCTGAAGCTTGTACTCCCAATCAGGAGAGACAGGGAATAACTAATCATGCCAGTGATTGATGGTAAATGGCAATAGCAAGAACAAGGTTACAATGACAAAGCTGGGCTAGCTACTGAAAAGACTGAGATGCACAGGATCACCATTTAGAGTCAGGCAGGACAGAAAAGTCTGTGAGACTCCATCTCCAATTAATCAGCAAAAAGCTGAGCTGGAGGGTGGAGACATGGCTCAAGTAATGAAGTGCCAGCCAACCATTGTGATGTCCTGAGTTTAACGTCAGAACTGGGGATGGGAGGGGGGAAGAGTACAATGACAAAACTAGACAAGTGGGCTGGGTCAGATCACAGTGTCCCAGGAGGGAGTTTGGACTTACTCTAACCACAATAGGAAGTGAATGGGGACATTTTTAAGCCACAGAATGAATCCAATTCTTTCTTTACAGACAAGAAGATCATTTGTGCAATGTAGTTCATAATATTTTTGTACTTAAAAATGTGTCAAGAGGATAGATTTCAAATTGGCATTTTAAAAAATTCCCCTTAACTGTTGCTAAATGGTCTCTCTGTTAAAAAAAATACAGATTTTCATAATCTGTCTTTAGTAAGCATATTTAATGCTAATAACTGTAAAACTTAACAAGATCTTCCTGGTTGGCAGGATGTGGACTTTATAAAATGGAGGAGCTCCATGTGGGCAATAGAGGGTGAGCAGAGTCCAGGAGACACATGAAGATATTCATATGCAGCTGCGTCCATAAGACATGAACTCACTCATTCATTCAAGAATGGTTTATTAGGAATTTACTAGGAACCAGGAACTATAAGAGGAAAGAACATTCTCACAAATACTGAACAATAGAGAGGGTTTTCTTTATTTTACAAATAGGGAAAATGGACGTGGAGAGATGAAAGGAAGTCCTGAGGTGCAGAATACTCAGTGACAGAACTGGTAAGGTCACACCCATGTCTTCTGGCTGGAAAAACACTTTCCACTCGGGCCTGACTACTGCAGCTCTTAGCTTCTCAATAAGATGCAGGAAGTCAGCATCAATTGGACATCAGGAACTGCTACATTGGGATGGCTTCCTGAGCTCTTGACGTTTGGCTCTTTAATACTAGAGCTCCAAGCACATGCCTTCCATTATGCAGCCTTGAAGCCAGAACAGATCACAGAAAGGATATACCTTCACCTCCAGGGCCTACAGGATATCAGGGATGAGTCACCTGAGAAATAACATTAGTTGTCCAAAGGTTGCAAAAGACATAAGGTTTTTGCTTGCAAAAGAGGCTGGTTGGTCTTTAGGATCTTACCATCCAGACCGTTCTCAAATCTGTTGACTATTCCTCACAATCCATAGTTAAAAGACAGAGATTTTTCACCTTTTTCTGCCTTCAGCAACTCTGCAGACACACTAACCTGCTTCTATGTGTGCTTGCTCTCTTCCCTCCTTCCTCAACTTCTTTAGATGTATTGACAAGCCACTTATGTCTGTGTTCCTCACTTCCTAGTTTTTAAAAGTGTTATTTTACAAATGAATCCTAAAGAGTCTCTCTTTAGTGGGAGGGGTGCTGGGGATGGAAGCCCAGGACCTCGAACATGCTGAGCACTAGAACTTAAACATGCAGTGCTGTAACACTGAACTGCATCCTCAGCTGTAGACACACTTTAAATTATACTATTTTGAGATGCATAGTGATAAAGGGAGATTTCAGGGCAAGAATGTATCTTTCTTGATCTTGTCTCCTTTTCTTTTCCTGATCTTGATTTCTTACTCTCCAGCCATCTCACTGGCACCCTGTTCCCCTATATTCTTCCTGTAGAAAATTATCTCCTTTGTGTTGGATACATGCACTAAAGCACTCTGACCAAAGACAGTCTTGGGCAAAAATGTAGACGCTGTTGATTTATTCACCAGACTATTTTAAGTACAAAAAAAAGGAAGAAAACATATCACATTTCTTATCACACATATAGGTAAGTTCACATTTGCCAAATGTTACAAATTCTGAGAGAAGACAACTACATTGTTAAGTATGATAATCTATTAAAGAATATGTTATAATCCATTAAGAAATTAAATACTATTGGGGTGGAGATATAGCTTAATGGAAGAGCACATGCTTAGCATTTGTGACACCTGGATTTAACCCCAACAATCACAAGAGAGAGAGAAAAAAATGAAAGAAAAAACTGAGGAAGAAGGGGAAGAGGAGGAGGAAGAAGAGAGGAGAAAAATAAAATAAAAGGCTATAATCCACTAAGGAATAAGTGACTAAAATTTTCCTCTTAATCAAATTCACATATTTTGGTGAGCTATTCAAAATATTTTACCTAATGCATTATGATAATGTGCTAAATAAAGTGAAATCATAACTTGGGCTTCTTTTGTTCTCACTTAGTAGATGTGTTTATGTTTGATCCTGAGTTTGTTTTTTTTTTAAATTTTTCCTATTAACAGAGTGATGTCAGAACTCCCAAAAGCACTAAACATGTCCATTCAATTCAGTGGAGTAGAACCAAACCCCAGGATGAAGTGAAAGCAGTCCAGCTTGCCATTCAGACATTATTCCCCAATTCTGAGGGTAACCCTGGCAGCAGGTCTGACTCGTGTAAGTTAATGCCCTGGTATTGCATGTGGGCTGATGGCCAGAGTTGGTTATGACATGCTGGCGGGTAGACACAGACTTCCCGCCTATCACTACCTTCTTATATGTTTACAATACTACCTTTATAACAGACTATGGAGAGTTGTATTGTTAGATACAAATATGATCATAATAGAGTAAGCTAGAATATTTGAGTGACTATGGTAACAATAAAAATTAATGATTATATTGCATGGGTAAATAAAAATGTCTGCATATTTTGTTTTCGAAACTAACTGTAGATAAAGATGAGACTCTTTCCTATGTCTAGTAAACATGCCTACAGAGCCATTATATAACCAGGATTTCCTGAGTCCTGAGCACCACTGATGTATCAAAGTACAGGAATGATAAGGAAAAGCAGGAAGAGAAGGATGAAGGGAGAGAAAGAGGGGGAAAGGATGGAGAGACAAATAAGGGTAAAGCAGGATAAAAAGAGGATAAAGAAAACTTGAAATGCATCTAATGGATAGTGGGGACAGTAATTACAGCCCATGTAAAGAAAGAGAATAGGGCTGGGAATATGGCTTAGTGGTAGAGTGTTTGCCTCTCATGCACAAATCCCTGGGTTCAATTCCTCAGTACCATATACACAGAAAAAGCTGGAAGTGTCACTGTGACTCAAGTGGTGGAGTGCTAGCCTTGAGCAAAAGAAGCTCAGGGACAGCACCTCGGCCCAGAGTTCAAGCCTCAGGACTGGCAAAAAAATAAAAAAGAAAGACAAAGAAAAAAAGAAAGAAAGAGAGAAAAAGAAAGGAAAGAAAGAAAGAAAAAGCAAGAAAGAGAACAGAAGGAAGGAAGGCAGAAAGGAAGGAAGGGAGGGAGGAAGGAAGGAAGGAAAGAAGGAACAACATTGAAGGTCAGCTGACTGGCTATCAAATTGGTCATTATTTGGTAGATTCAAGGAAGACTCTCAATTTTGTACGTCCAAAACTCTGATACTTGAGGGGGCTGTGACAAGCTAGCAAATACATTGGGGAAGGAGATATGAAAAATCTAGTGTAGTTCCCTCTTTACCATGAGAAATATACCCATCAAACAAACCAAAAATACATTTTTTCTGATCAGCACACATTTTCCCCCCAAGAGAAAATTTTAACTATGAGGCCATGTCAGAAGATTCTTTGGTAAGCATGAAAACAAGTTAGCCAGAGGTTTATCTTACCACTTTGGGGGGTCCTGAGACTGGACAGCCTCACTTCCACATCCCTTACGCTAATGACTGACTTGCCCAGTGGGTAGGTCTTAAATGTCCACCAGCCAGGGTGCCCAACCTGAAGTATAGCCAAGAAAAGTCATACATGTGCCTGCCACCTAAAAAGCAAAATATTTCTGGAAGTTACAACACAACAAAGTAGGAAGAATGTGGAATTTCAATGCAGAGGGATTGTTGGCTGAATGACCATGGATAGGCAAGTAACTTGTCCTCTCAGGCTTCCTCATTTATAGAAGATTGTCAGTTAATATTTCCCTGAAGCCAGGTGCTGGTGGCTCATGACAGTATCCTAAGACAGGGGTTCAAAGCCAGCTCGGACAAGAAAGTCCCATGAGACTCTTATTTCCAATTAACCAGCCCCCAAACCAGAAGTGGAGCTGTGGCTCAAAAGTGGTAGAGCTAGCACTAGCCTTGAACAAAAAAGCTCAGGGAAAGTTTCCTGGCCCTGAGTTCAAGCCCTGAGACCAACAACAACAACAAAAGTTCCCTGATGTTATTCGAAGAGTAATGGAATAACGTAAGGAAAGCCCAAAGAAAAACAGCAAGTACATGGCATAGACTCAGTGACCATGTCTTTTTGGGTTTTTTTTTTAATAGTAAAGGAAATATCCTTATTACTAGCCTAGAATTTCTATGAATGGGAAAGCTTGGGTTCCCAAGAAGCCTTGAGTTCCCGAGCCAGGCTCATGAATGAGGCATGCAGCCTCCACGTGGCTCAGAAGACGCTCACCCCTCTCTCTCCTGCAGGTGCTGACTGCCAGTGGTTAGACACACTGCGATTGCGGCAGATTGCCTCCAACACATCCTTGCAGCGTTCCCAGAGCAATCCCATCCTGGGGTCACCTTTCTTCCCATATTTTACTGACCAGGGCTCCTATGCTGCTGCAGTGAGGCGGACCCAGGTGCCCATTAAGTATCAACAGATCACACCTATCAACCAATCCAGAAGCTCCTCTCCCACTCAGTACGGGCTGACCAAAAACTTCTCCTCACTGCAGCTCAACTCCAGGGACAGTGGCTTTTCCAGTCTCAACACTGACAGCTTCTCAGAGAGAGGTCGCTACTCAGACCGAAGCAGGAACAAGTATGGTCGGGGTAGTGTATCACTTAATTCCTCCCCGAGAGGGAGATATGATGGGAAAAGTCAGCATTCCACTCCATCAAGAGAAAGATATTCTGGAAAGTACTACAGGATGTCTCAACCAGCAATCAGTACTCACCAGTCACCTAACTTAAAGAGAAGCCCTAATGACCACCACTTACCTAAGACCATCCCAGGGATGCCTTTGCACCCAGAGCCTGTCTCTCGACCCAGTGAGGAGGAGAGCAAAGTGAGTGAGGGAGGATGGACTAAAGTAGAATACAGGAAGAAGCCCCACAGGCCCTCTCCTGCCAAAACCAGCAAAGAAAGAGCCAGAGGAAACTTCCAAGGGCGAAGGAACTTTTGATGTCTTGAACTAGATGTGTTTTTCTTTTGTTCATGCAGTGGATTTTGACAACAGGATATCTTCAGATTCAATTAACAAAAAAGACAATTCTTCCAATGTGGAGACTGGGAAATCCTTTCGAATTGAGACTGCAGCCGAACCCGGACCACAATTATGGTTGTTGGTTGCCTTAGTGGTAATAACTAGACTTGCGAACAGTGTTCCATACTGCCATCCATGAATTTATGCTGTGGAAGGTAGGGCTCTGCCCATCTTGTTACCCTGAGCACTGGTGTTCTGCTTAGCAGGGCTGGGACTGGGGTAAGGCAAGTGAGGTCTATGAGAAACCAAAGATAAAGACAAGATCAGTATTAATGATTTCTTTTTCCTTTTGGCTAAGACTCTTGTGTGGCCTAGCAAGGTGCTGTTATTGATCTTGTCTTAAAATCTTGGTATTTCAGTCATCCTCATGAAGTTTTTGCATTGGTTTTATTTTTTTAAGATTGCATTAAAATATCATTTATGTTGATTGTTGGGTTTTTTTTAATGCCTTCATAAATTTTGTGCCCAAGCAAATGCCTTCTCATCTTGTCCTCATCTCTGCCCTGCTAGGTAGTATTTATTTGGTAAGGTATTTGTGTTTTTATCATGGAACTGATCTGGCTTGTCATTTTTTTGGTAATAAAAACTGCTATTGTACTTATAGTAATTACAGTATTCCTCTCTCATTCATTAAGCTTCAGCAAAGGAAAAGGGAGGGATGAGAGAATGACCAGTGCAGGGGGACAAGGGAGGGGCACATTGTAAGCATGTATGGACATGTCAAAATGAAATCCCTGTTTACACCTAATTGCTGGCAATGAAAATAGGAGGGGTCTGGGCACCAGTGGCTCACACCTACAATCCTAGCTATGCAGGAGGCTGAGATATGAGGATCAAGGCTCAAAGTCAGCCTGGGCAGGTAAGTCCATGAGACTCTCATCTCCATAAAATTATCAGAAAACCGGAAGTGGCGCTGTGGCTCAAGTGGTAGAGTGCTCACCTTGAGCTGAAGAGCTCAGGGACAGCCCAGGCCCTGAGTTCAAGCCCCACAACCAACAAAAACAACAACAACAAACAAACAAAAAAAAAAAACAACAGGGCGGTGGGGGGGGGTGCGGAGGGGATTAGAGGAAAAAACACTGATCAGAAACTAACAACCTAAATGCCCTGGAGATCAGGATCAATTCTGAGGCCTAAGCATTCTTGACCTCACATTTTAGCAGAGAAGGAAAAGGTAAAGCAGTAGTCCACAAAGGTCTCTGGGGTGTCAGAAATCTAAAAATCTAAAAGAAAACAGAAAGCAAGAGAATTGCATTACAAGCTAAAAACCAGACAGTTTTAAAATTACCAACATCCTTGTTAGAACAAGACATCAAATACCAGCCTTGCAGGCAGACAGCACTGGGCATCTGAGGGTGATGAAGAGGTGATCACTTGCAGTTAGGACAGGAGTGCTGGAAGCCAACCTGTGAAGCCTTTCCTACATATTCTTTTATTGTGTGCAGATATTAGGCTTGAACTCAGAGCTCTAGGCTCTGTCTCTTAGATTTTTTCACTCAAGGCTGGTGCTCTACCACTTGAGCTTTACTTCCACTTCTGGCTTTTGCTAGTTAATTGGAGATAAGAGTCTCTTGGGGGGCTGGGAAGGTGGCTCAGTGGTAGAGCGCTTGCCTTGCATGCTCGAGGCCCTGGGTTCGATTCCTCAGCACGACATAAGCAAAAAGAAAAAAGCTGGAAGTGGCGCTGTGGCTCAAGTGGTAGAGCGCTAGCCTTGAGCTGAAGAGCTGAGGGACAGTGCCCAGGCCCAGAGTTCAGGCTCCACGACCGGACCAAAAAAAGAAAAGAAAAAAAAAAGAGTCTCTTGGATTTTTCTGCACAGGCTGGCTTTGAACTACAATCCTCAGAAGTGCAACCTCCTGATTAGCTAGGATCACAAGCAGGCCCCTTCCTCTTTTACAAATCAGCAAGTCAGTGGTAACTAAGCTTCTCGATGAGAACTATATAAACATTCACTATTCTGAGGTGCTTTCCACATTCACTAACACAAACGTTGAGTGTCCTCAGAGCTACCTGAAATTCTCAATGCTCTGTAGAGATCATCTAGGTGCATGCCTGTGTTCTCAGAGGAATCCAGGTCTGTACCTGCCGGAGAAAGCTGTATTCCCTAGCATTGGAGTCAAGGCTATAGGAAATGAACTACCTTGATTTATAACATTGATTTGACAACTTGACTTGATCAGTCTCACTTGCCACTTGTATTAATTACAAGCAAAGCAATGAGAATGTTAAGTCCAAAGCTGTTGCTGAGGTATAAAGTACTGGTTTCCATTCCAGAATGGCAACATCTCCTAAGTTTTCTAAGTCTCTTTCACTGAAACTTTTTCTCACAAAGCTTATTCATATCAGCTACAGACTTTTTCCCAATTACTTTTCATCTTTGTCCAATGCTCATGTTTCACTTTGTTTTATATTGTTATTTTTGGAAGCGGGATAAGGGGAGGGGGGAGTGGGAGTTGTGGTATTACTGGGGTTTGAACTCAAGGCCTTGCACTTGGTAAGCAGGTACTAAACCATTTGAGCCATATCCCAGCTCGTTTTGATTTAGTTATTTTTCAGACAGAGCCTTGGGCTTTTGTTCTGAACTGGTCTTAGACCACTTTCCTTCTACCTTTTCTTCTCACATAGCTGGGTATAAACCACCATTCCTGGCTGGTTTGTTGATATGAGATCTCGCTAGTAATTTTGCCTGGGCTGGCTATAAACTCCTATCTTCTTCCCACATAATCAAGGTTACAAGCATGTGCCACTACTGCCAGCTATTCTTTTTTGTAACAAGGTCTCCCTAGGTAGCCTTGGCTGGCCTGGAGCTCATAATCTGCCTACCTCAGCCTTCTGGGTTTTATAATGACAAGTGTATGCCACCACATACTTAAATCTAAAGAAAAACAGACTAATACCAAGTTTGTCCTCTTAATATAATACTGTTTCCAAATATTTGATATTTTCTTCTGTTAGAATGTTTACATAAGTAGTACAGCACAGTTTTGATTCTGGAAAGAACTGAAGTATGAAAGGAATTAAAGTATGGCTTCAACTATTAAAATGTGCATTTTGGAGAGTTGTTGATGACTTTAGCTTAAAAGGTGCTTTGAGTCAGGCACCGGTGGCTAAGGCCTGTTATCCTAGCTTCGCAGCAGGCTGAGATCTGAGGATCACTGTTCAAAGCCAGTCCGGGAAGGAAAGTCTGTAAGACTCTTATCTCCAATAAACTACCAGAAAACCAGAAGTGGTGCTGTGGCTCAAGTGGTAGAGCGCTAGCCTTGAGCTAAATTGCTGACGGACAGCACCCAGGCCCAGAGTTCAAGCCCCACGACTGATAATAAAATAAAAGGTCCTTTGAGAATGCTAGCTTGTTTTATTCTCTTTTCCTCCATCTTGCTTTCTTGAACCATGACTTGAGGATCCGAATTGGTAATAAAATGACTTCAACAATCTCAGCTCTATTAAGTACAGTTGGCGACCACAGTGAAGTTAACTGCCTGCAGCACTGACCGCTTGCATCTTGTAGAAAAACACTTGTCATCATCTATGCTCCCAATGAAAAGCAAAACAAGAACATCTGCAGTCTGCCTCTTGGTTGTAAAGAAATAATAAGCATTGGATATGCATGTTCTGACTGCCCCCCACCACAAATGATGCTTATTCACCAAAAATGGTTTGCCAGGTTGAAAGATGAATGTAAGTCAAGAGCAGAGCAAGAATCAACAGTACCTTTTTCTTCAAGTTAATCAGTTGCAAAAATAATTTCTAAAAAATAGGAGCTGGGGGGCTGGGAAGGTGGCTCAGTGGTAGAGCGCTTGCCTTGCATGCATGAGGCCCTGGGTTCGAGTCCTCAGCACCACATAAGCAAAAAGAAAAAAGCTGGAAGTGGCGCTGTGGCTCAAGTGGTAGAGCGCTAGCCTTGAGCTGAAGAGCTAAGGGACAGCGCCCAGGCCCAGAGTTCAGGTCCCACCAGCAGGGGATGCAGTTTGGTGACTTAGCATGCACAAAGCCTTAACTTCAATATCCAACACCAAAAAATAGAGTACATTAATTTCCAACCATGAGGACCTGTATTAGTTGCATCAGTCTCAGGCTAAGATCCAAAAAAGCAGCCGGGCACTGGTGGCTCTCGCCTGTAATCCTAGCTACTCAGGAGGCTGAGATCTGAGGATCGTGATTCAAAGCCAGCCCAGGCAGGAAAAACTCTTATCTCTAATAAACTACCAGAAAACCGGAAGTGGTGCTGTCGCTCAAGTAGTAGAGGTCTAGCCTTTAGCTGAAGAGCTGAGGGACAGGGCCCAGGCCCCATGGCTGACAAAAAAAAAAAGATCCAAGAAAGAAGAGAAGGAAGAAGGGAGAGATAAAGGACTAAAGAGAAGGAGGGAGGAAAGGAAAGAAGGCAGGAGGGAAGAAGGAAGGGAGGAAGGAAGGAAGGAAGGAAGGAAGGAAGGAAGGAAGGAAGGAAGGAAGGAAGGAAGGAAGGAAGGGTTTATGCACAAAAGTAATCCTTTGGGGAATTTAGAGAATCTTGACATTTGGCCTATCCTTTCTGGATACACAAGAATTGTCTTGTTTACGAATCTAAATGGTTCCTCATCTGAGCACCCTGTCCTCTACACCCTGCCCTAGTTGACATTCTCCTGCCCGAGGCCCCAGGCCCACGCATTAGCCACCAGATGCTGCCTGTTCTGGTGGAGGCTGGGAGAGGCTTTGTGTTGGTGCCGGAACAATTCAAGATTTGTCAGCTGGTTGTGGCTGATTATCAAGATGTCCAAACTGGCTCCTTTGCTATGTGTAAGCAATTTAATTTTGTGCCTAATTTTAATCTGCAGTGTACTGTATGTCTGCATCTGCTGTGTTAAAGCATTCATTAGCATTTAAAGGGGGGACTGATGGTATTGATCACTCTTATTAAAACCAAACACATTCGTGCGGCAGGAGCTGATGAGCAATCTCTTTAGCCGCTGGAGTCCCAGCCAAAGTTGCCTTACTTGGAACCCCAGCAGAAGCTGAAAAGGCATGTTCAAGCAGGGAGAGGTGACATCTGTTACCAGCATTTATGGCTTGCCACCACCACCTCTCCAGCTTCCCAGATCACGAGCTGCTTTTGCTGTTGCTTTTTCTTTAATATTTCTGTTAACTTTAAGTAGTTGAACAAAGGAATTGCCGTTCAACAGAGCAGTTTATGAGTATAAAGCATCTTGATCAATGTCACCCCTTTCTACATTCTCACCCACCCCTCCCTACCCGCTTTCCCTCACTGCTCTTAATTTGTAGGCTATGTATTTATTTTTTTGCCATTTAACAAAACAGTTTATGTATACAATGCATCTTGTCCTGTGTCACCCCTTCCACATCTTCACAACCCCCCACCCTTTCAACCTATCCCTCCCCTTACGTTTCTCAATTTGGTGATATATACAATGAATTCTATTCCTTTCCCCCATTCATTCTTCTACCCCTCTCCCCTTTCCCCACCTCTTTTTTTTAAAATTGTGAAAATACTGTACAGAGGGGTTACAATTACATGGGCAAGATAATGAGTACATTTCTTATCAAGCATTGTAGCCTCCT